ACAGCGGTGTGCCATGTTTGCTGCCCAGCGGCTGCCCGTTAAAGTCTTAGTTTTGCCTAATGCCGCCTTTGCTGATACTGTGGATAATGGTCCAGTGATGGATTGCAGCGAAAAACACAATACGTGGGAGGTGAACCGTATTTTTAGATACCGAGTTGTAAAACTGTCAGTCTTAGAAGTCCGGTCACGATAGCTTCCCGCGGGCTGTTGCTTTCACTTTTGCTTCCTGATACTAATCTCTGAATGTGTATAGGAAGGGCAGAATTGAGAGGGTGGTAATGAAAACGGGATAGAGAGAAATACTATTAGCAAAACTCTGATTACCTGGTTTCCAGACCTTTGTTAATTTTTTATTGTAGTTACGGAAAGTATATGTTTTTGTGAAATCACGGGAGTACAAACCCAGCTGGAGCACAGGTCTGTTTCCTTGAATACGTTTTCACTTGTGTGTGCCTGGCCAGGAGTCACATCTGAGAGAGGGTTTAGTATGACAAGTTGTAAGAAGTTTGTTTTTACAGTCAGACTTGTTGAGCAGAGCATATTAGAAACAGCTTTTATCTAAAACTCTATCAGCTTGTAGAAGAATACAGCTACTGGTTTGCCTTGTTATTCATACAACTCTGGCCTTTCTACTGAAATACTTTTTAAAACTGTACGATATGCTTAAGTGCAATTCCAAATTGTCCCTTTGATTTCAGTCTGCCACTGAGAGCCTATCCAATTTTAACATTGTACCGGTGAAGTAAATGTATGCGGAAGAGTGGAAGCCTGTATTTTGTGCACTGTTTTTTCCCCCTCTTTTTTTTTTTTTTTTTTCCCCTACCTTACTATGTCATTTGGGTACTCCTGCAGTCCGTAACAATAGAAAGAATTTACTATCTCCTGTTTTTCCAGTTAGTCATTAGGCATAAATCTCACTGGGGTATTCTTATTGTTTCACTTATTATAGTTTGATTTTTTTTTTGTATTGTCCTTCAAGGCCAACTTGGTTGGACTCCATTAGCTTAAGTATATGTTGGATCAGGGCCATCTTCATTTTAAAATATTATTGGCAGTGTTTTATTTAAAACAGTAACATTTTGATAACATATGGAGTGGGTTGGCAAAAGAAGGCGAGAACAAGAAGAGAATTGTTACGCAAAGAGGAAATTTGCTATTAGGAGAATAAATTAGTTTTGTCAACATTTGTGATATTCTTGAGAGTTTTCTGTGGTTATTAAACACTAACAAACTTGAACACCCGAAGATGCTTTCTATTTTTATAAGTAAGTTGTGAAATAATTTTTTTAAACAAAATATTAATACAAAAAAAAATTCTAGTAGTTTTGAATACCAGACAACTCACAAATGTGTGATTTCATTAAGTATACTTTGTTGAAAGGCAGTGCCATTGTCTTCATGAATGAAGAACGAAATCAAATTACTCAAAATGCAAGTCTGAATTAAGAACACAAATATATGTTCTTAGGAAGTTCTGAAGCCTTTCCTTCTAATTTACAAAAATGGGAGCAGTGTAAAAGTTATTTTAATGAGAGAACTGTTAAATTCTGATCATTCTTAGCTAGATTGGAGCTTCTGCTGAGGTCTAATGGTCTCAAGTATTCTCTTTGGATAAAAACTTCCTTTGCTTTTTTTGTTCTTGGTAGTACTGTTTTCAGTTGTAGCTTATGTCACTTGTTACCATCTCCAGTTAAAACATTAAAAGCTTTCTGGGTAGTGGAATTTTTAACAGAAGTATGCACTTAATCATTTTCACTTGAGGTTCTCGGGCTTTTTGGCTTTGGACTAAGCAAGCTTTCTGAGTGTGTCTTGTGGGAAAGGAAAGGAGGTAGAAATGTGTTTTCATGCAAATACCATTTTCATGAAAAGATACAAGACCATGGGTAGTTACTAGGATACTCTGGGTAATAAAAATTAACAGTGTTTGCTTTATAATACCTTTCTAAACATTGTATATTTTCTGTTTGCTCTATATCTACAGGTCCTTTTATTTAGTGTTTAAATAAAACCCTTTAGATATTACAGTTCTTAGTATATTAAAACTTAATCCTTGTATTAAAAACATTCCCTTCAGAAAACAGGAAGTTTAATCTTGGAGTTTGGATCTCCTGTGCAAAGGATCTTCAATGAGAAGTGTGTGGCATACTTTTTTCGTTATTCAACTTTGGTTAATAAAATTAAAAGCATATGAGAACACCCTCGGTAGGTCATGTTTAAACTTCACGCTGCACAGTCAGTCTGATAGTACTCTCCATATAGCTGAAAGCGTTATTATGTTGAGTATGTCAGCATTATCTATGGGCATTTGGGATAAATATCTCTCAAGGCTCAGAAAAATTCTCCCTCCCGTCCTAGTTAAAAATGTTAGGGGCAAGAGAGTACTTCTAAAGAGAGTGGTTGATGAGGGAAACTGTTTAATTAAAGGAAAAGTAATGGCAGCAAAGGTAGGAATAAATCTTCTCAAAGTTCTAATTAAATCTTAATTCTTGTGGAGGGGGGTAAAGACATTTGAAATTATGATGTTTGTGTGCATATATTAATAAAAAGAAACATGTCTGTGAGGAGAATTACAGTCATGACATCCTTTGAGGTTGTACATCACAGGTGTTCTGTGGTACATATTTTTAAACATCTTGATTGTGTGATTGGATTTTTTTTTTTGTAAGTAGACTTCGTGATTTTTTAATATGCACTTAAGCAGTTAGTCCTGGTGACAAACAGTAAAAGCTTTTGCCCCGCAGTGTATGAGTTAGATGACAATACAGCCCTCGGTTTACTGATTCAGTTGCTCAAAGCCATGTTCAAATGTAAAGTAGAAGTACTGATTAGTTTGCTGAGTTGACTTCCTTGGACCTTGGGGAAGCATGGTACAGAGCCAGCGTTCAGGGTGGTTAGTCCCATGTAGAGTCTGCCTGGACCTATCTAGACCAATTTCTGCAGTATCTCCTCTGAGTTTGTACGCTGTGCTCCTGATGAATTCTCACTAAAATCTTTATCCTACGGTAAATAGGACAATCAGTTATTGACTTTCTACTAACTGCTGTGCATACATATCTCAAAATTCATGTGCATTTTTAATAGGGACTCTATCTTCAGAAGGTTTGTTGTCGTGTAGCCCTTAATTTTTGACATATGGTTCCATTGTTAGTAATTATTTAAAATGTATGGATTCCTGAAGATGATTAGGTGATCACTTGTGCCTGTACAGTTGCTGTAGTGCAGATGTAACACCTGTATGCAGGTCTGAGAAGGGGTCTGTAAAGTTTATGCATTTTGGTCAATTGCATTTGCTTCAAACTCTGTTAATGATTTTGTTCCTTTTGTTTCTGTAAAAGTGAAACGGCGGTCTCTTGTGTGTTTATAGATTGATTTGGATACTATTGATGTCAGCAATCTCAACAGGCAGTTTTTGTTTCAAAAGAAACATGTTGGAAGATCAAAATCACAGGTGAGGAAAAAGTCAAAGCTGAAGTCTTACTCAGTATTATTTTATGGACAGTGTTAGAAACATGTCACGATCTTGTTTCTATTGTGAAGAGGTAAGTGTTGGTTGGTTGATCATGGCTATCCACAACATTTCATTATAAAAGTATTTAAATCTCTTAAGGTAGTCAACTTACTTGATACGCAACTGGTATCGAGTCTATCTTTAGGAGGAAGGAAGAAAGAAATAATAAGTGGTTGTTTTTGTTTTTGTTTTTTTTTATTTCTAGGTTGCCAAGGAAAGCGTGTTACAGTTTTATCCAGAAGCTAATATTATAGCTTACCATGATAGCATCATGAAGTATGTTTGTTTTTAAGCTCTAATTACATGTTTTGATTTGCAAGTACTGTTATTTAAATGCTACAATGGTGTGCTTTAAGATATTTTACAAAGCTACTGCAGTAAGAAGAAATAGCTGTAAATACGAGACTACTACACACCTGAGTGGGAGTGTGGATTTTGCATGAGTTTTCTTAAGCTCTAGTAGTAAGCTGTAGTTATTTGCTTGTGTCTATTTTTTTATTTTATTAGCAACATTTACTATATAAGTTTCTACATTGTAAGGATGCCCTGATATCTTGAGCAATAATTAGGCTAAAATAAATGTAAATGTTGAGTCAGTGATTAAAAAAATGAAGTCCTTTGTGTGTGTGTAGGTAACTGAGTATCATTTCTATATGCCCAAAACTGTTAAAATCTAGTCTTTATGATTCATAACCAATGAGTACAAGATTATGTGGATTTTAATTAGCTGTTTCCCGCGTTTTAATTTATATTTGTCTAGTTCCTTAAAAATTGATATACTGTAATATTAAGGTTTGAACTCTGATGTTGCTATTGGCCACTGAAACACTGACTCATTGCATCCTTCTCCTGAAACTGTAAAACTGTTAATCCTGTTTCCTCTTTACTCTCTCCTTTGCCACCTTCTTTAAATCAGACAAATGCAGTGTAAAGATAGTAAAGTGTCAAGATTTTTAAATCCTGTGTCTTGGCTCCTAAGGGTATGGAGGGATGATCAAAACCGATTGAGCTATCACAGTCTAATGAATTATCAACAGTCTGATGAGCTATGGTAATTACAGTGTGAACATTTTAGCCTCAGCTGATAGTTTTTTAAGGTCAGTTACCACAGCTCAGCCAATTTACTCATTAGGTGAGAGCAGTATAATCACTTTTTTGTTGTCTGCCTGTTTCGTTGGTTAAATTAGTACTAATTGCAGTAGCTTCCTTCCAGCAGCATAAAATTCATGCTTTCACCCAGCTTTAAAATGGGCAAAAGACAAATGGGGCAGTTAAAGGCTAGCAGTAAATTTATAATGTGTAATTTATCACACGAACATCAATCCACCCTTTGCATGTGTATAGTTTCTGTTGTGGCATAATAACCAGCAACTTTGATACGTCATTTTGAGTATTGTTTTTCTTTTCTGTAGCCCTGACTATAATGTAGAGTTCTTCCGCCAGTTTACGTTGGTTATGAATGCTCTGGATAACAGAGGTGAAGTTTTCACTATGATTTTATATTGGAGATGAAAATACTGTTGCTTGATCATAGAAACAGAACTTTAATGTGTTCTACTCTTAGTACTTCTGCAATGTTAGTTAAATAACAAGTATCCTCTTAATCCATCTGTAGTTTGACTAATGCTTGTGTGCTTCACTTGAATTTGAAAGGGTAGTTAGTGCTTTTACAGGTGTCTTGAAAGTAAACATTAACTGCTATGTTGCTGCTTTATGGGAACTGATGAGTATTGTGTGTACCTATGTAACTTTAGTCAGCTGAGTTTGCTGTATTTAATATAGTGTTGATGTATTTTGTATTAATTGGAAAATTGTGAAAAAGGCGTAGTGCTCTATAATCAAATAAGGCAGATTAAGGATAAATGTTTGCATAGGAGGCTGGTTTGAATCTGGAGAAGTAAGACTTCTTTTTTCTAATTATTCAAATTTTTCTTTAAAAACTCTTGATTTGCAGCTGCCCGTAACCATGTGAACAGGATGTGTCTGGCTGCTGATGTTCCTCTTATAGAGAGTGGAACTGCAGGCTACCTTGGACAAGTAACAGTTATTAAAAAGGTTAGGTTGTGTATTACTCTTGTTGCTTTAAGTTTAAATCATTGGCTATTTTAGACAACAGGGAGTTGGGTGTTTTGAGATACAATTACAGCTCATGTGGTAATAGCATATACTATTAGTAGCCTTCACAGTGTGACAAGTAAATATTTCACTTTTCACCAGGGAGTGACAGAATGTTATGAATGTCATCCTAAACCAACTCAGAAGACTTTTCCAGGCTGCACAATCCGAAATACACCATCGGAACCTATCCATTGCATTGTGTGGGCTAAGTATCTGTTCAAGTAAGTGATCTTCTGAAAAAGAAAATAGGTACTGTGGTTCACTTTTCTGGTTTCTAAACCTACAGACAGAGAAATAAAGTGGACACACACTTTTTGGTTTTTTGCTTTGGTTTGTTTTTTTAACTGAGTGTGGATTATAGCGAAAATCTCCAGTTCTTTGACCTGGATTTTGGGGTGCTTTTGGGGGGTGGGGTTTTTTTTTTTCTTTTAATATAAAGACGGAAGGTTTGTTAGTACTTAGGCCTTACTCTTATATCACAGAAGATCTGGCAGAGTATTTTGGCACAGCAGTTTAGGTTGAGGTTACTTTATTCTTCACCTTTGTGTGAAGTTAACACATTTTTCAGTTTAATGCATGTATTAACAGATGTAAAGTTTGCTGGGAACTTGGGGGGTTATAAGCAATGCATTCAGTACTGCAATATAAATAAAAGGCTAGGTGAACTATTGAGTAAGTTATACAGAACTGTTTTGGTAAATTCATTTTTGTATTGGACATTTTGTGTTGTCAGTGTTAAGTCCACATGTGATGAATCCCAACAATTTAAAAAGCAATGTATGAAGTGGCACTCTAATAGCAAGCATTCTAAAGTGGATATATATCCATTAGCAAATATTTCAGTCTTTAACCGGTTACGATGAAATTCTAGTGTTGCGTTATTATTCTTAATTATTATATAGCCAGTTGTTTGGAGAAGAAGATGCTGATCAAGAAGTCTCTCCTGACAGAGCTGATCCTGAAGCTGCCTGTGAGTGTGATATAAGCTGGTAGCTTACCCTGTTACTGAAATGTTTTATTTCAGAGATTATGACTTGTTTCTGTACATTTCTTGAGGTTAGAGAATTCAGCTCCATTTTCTTTTAAGAGGATTCCATTTACCGTACCCTTGGACAACAAGAGTTTGGGGTGTGTTAACAGTAGTTTCCTTTACAGACCTTCATGTACACTGTGCATAATTTAGTTCCTTCGTACTGCCGCTTATTAGATTTGAAACAATTTCAGTGGTTTTTAGTTAACTTGATGCATAGTGCATACTGGAGGTTTTTGCATGGAGAATGTGCAAAAAATACTCTTCAAAATTACAATAGAATAACAGTTTCACCTGTCAGAACTGTGGCCCTTGTGGGCAGCCTAAACTTTTTAATACAGTGTAAGATGGGTCACTGGCATTCAGTAGTTGTTCTCAGATAGTGTGGGTAAAAGAGCTGTGAGGAACACAATCGATACACTTGCTAATCATAAAGTTCCAGTTAACACATCCAGGTGTAAGGTATATGATTTAGATGAATAGGCTTGTATCTGTTTGGAGACTCCTGATCCCTCTGCAGCAAACGGTCTTCCCCATGTGCACAGAAACTTGAAGTGAGAAGTTAGCTTGAAGTGCAAATTACATATAACTGATCTTCGCAGGGTGGCCTTTTTTTCCCAATGTATTTGGATTTGCTGGAGCGCTTCCTTCCCTGCAGCTGCGAGGCTTGTCTTTTGAACTGAGGACTGAGAACTGAGTGATATTTGCAGTCACTGCATTTTCCACTCCTAGCTGAGGGATGTAAGGAAATACAGGGATTGTGTTTGAACTCTTGTAGCTTGAAACACTTTAACGTTAATCTACATAGGAAACATGCCCATTTTGAGTGATATTTTTGTAGCTATTCAGTATTTTTCTGTAAGGACAGTAACCGTAGTTACTGTGAAGGTGAATAAGCATCATTGTTGCTTCCTTTGGATCCTGTGATAGATGAATGGACTTGGGAGAGGGAGCTTAGAGGATCCTCTGACTCTTCAGATTCTCTGAACATCAAATAGTGATCACCTGACAGGTTGTTTCTACAGGAAGTGCAGAATGAAATAACTGAGTCTTAAAAAGAGTGGCCTATAAACTCACTTAAAACAACGGCTGCTGGAACACTTGGAAGGTAGCAGACACAATGCCACTTATTTAAACAAAGATACCAGGGCAATTTTAGGAAGGCCTGAGCTGTAGCCTCATGTCTATAGTGAGCAAACTGTCCGTAGTGATAATGCTGTTTAGAATCAGTGGACATACAGGGTGTATCAGTGCAGCCTTTGTAAAGGGAAGTCATGCCATGCATGGCTCTGCAGGTCCGTTGAAGGAATCTGCAAACCTGTGGACAAGCATATCTGGTTTACGCTGTTTTGAATCTGCAGGGGGCACTCAAAAAACTTTCTGTGAGGAACCTGAAGGAGCTAAGCAGCCATGGGGAGAAAAAAGGATGAAGATCCTGAAGTGGATAAACTACCTAAATGGTAGAGATAAATGGTGATTAGAGGAGTGTCTCAGATTGGGGATGGGACCAGTGCTGTTCAGCATACATGATTAAGCAAAGTCGCTCAGAATAATAAAGATGGGGACTAACTGCAAAAAGTAGTAGAAAGCTTCACCATACAGAATGACTGGGCAATAAGACATTGGGTAGATTTGATGCAGATAAATATGAAATGATGCAAATGATGCACTGGTGAAAGGGGAGCAACATTCAAAAATGTACATACAAAGTGATGGTCTCTGAGTTAATTTTTCTCATTCAGTCAAGATGTTAATAGATAGTTTTATGAAAACATCAACCTGATCGTTATTAGGAATCACAGTAGCAATTGCTGGATGTGACTGGGAAAGAAACACAAAATGAATAGCATCTGTGTGTGTGGAATTTTTTTGTATAGGAGTAACCAGAGGTAGGACGCTGATTTGTTTTGTGTTGAAGTTCTAACCAAACTAAGACTCTTCAGCCAGGAAAAGAGACTACTAAAAGGGGATGATTAGAGATTTATGAAATCGCAATATTCTGTGGAGAAAATTAGTAGGAAACAATTGTTCACTGTTTCTGCCAATAAAGGAATTAAGTGACATCAAGTTAAATTAGTGAGTTGCAGAAGCAAACAGGAGTAGTTGCATTGTGTCTAATTCAGCTTTTGGTGGGTGTAGTAAAGCCGTTTTATGGTCCCTGCATAATTTTGGTTATTGACTCTAGGGGAAATATTTGGATGTGATTTTCCTTTTCTTGAATTAAAATATTGGTTAACACTTTATTGATAGGGGAGCCAGCAGAAGCAGAAGCCAGAGCACGAGCATCCAATGAAGATGGTGAGATTAAACGTGTTTCAACTAAGGAGTGGGCTAAGTCAACTGGATACGATCCAGTTAAGCTTTTTACTAAGGTATCTTCTTTACCCCCAATAAATGTCTTTATTTGAAGTGTATGAGGTGCTTTAGAGTTAAGTCAAAACCCAGTTTGGACACTTAATGCTAACCATCAATTACGCAATTTTGTTATGATTTCCACCAATTTTGCTGGAGTGTTGGTCTTTTACAACACTTGCATGTTTTTCGGCAGTCCATCTGCATCTGTACAGATGGCTTCAGCAGCTTGTCCATACTGTACAGAAACAACTTCATTCTAATTACTTTTAATACGAAAAGGTAAACTTGAATTCTGTAGCTGTTTCACTATATATTCTGTAACATAATCAGAACCAATCTGAGGACCTAAAAGCTATCAGTCATCTTCTGTGTATAATCAGGCTCTGGCATAAGAAAATACAAACTGGTTTAGGAGTTTTCCTTCTAAATAGTTGCTGAAAGTGGATAAATAGAGGAAATGAGTATAGAATATGACGTTGATAGATAGTAATAACTTTACTTTGGAAATTCGTTGGCATGTAGGTAAGAGTATCTCAGGGAGTGTATATAAAGAGCTGTAGTGATGGCTTCAGTAGGCAAGATGAACCCACTGTTTGGACTATTGTTTCTTGATTTTTACTTTATTCCTCCCCCAAATTAATCAGAGCTGTGTCTGCTTTATGCAATAAGTGTTAGGGAATGGGGAATAAGAAGTTTTTCAAATCTGTTTTTTTTTTTCCTGTGGAGTTTGATTTTTATTTATGTGGTTGAAAATATTTTCAAGGAGAAAAGCAAAATCTCATAAATCTAATGCTGATTTTTCAATTTCACAGCAGATGTAAAAATAAAGTATGTCTTTTTTCCTCTTTCATTTTAATGTTTTTGGGCTGGTTTTTTTTTTTTTTAATGTTTCCTAGCTGTTCAAAGATGACATTAGATATCTGCTGACAATGGATAAGCTGTGGAGGAAAAGAAAGCCTCCAGTGCCACTGGACTGGGCTGAGGTACAAAATCAAGGTAATTGTCCCTCCTCCCACTGTGTATTTGTAAGTCATACCTGCTGTTTGTTAATGCATGTCTGTGATACATACATTTTCTCACTGTCACATTTGAGTGCTGATAATGAACGTATTCTTTGCAATTCCTGAAGATTTTAAATTTTTCTTTATGTAGAAAATGTTTTTTCTAAAACTGTTTTGCAATTGTTATTTTAGATACTCAGTAGTAGCTGTAGAAAATCCACATTTCACAAAATTACATGGCAGCTTATTCTAGGAGACCTTACCATAAGCACCAATACATTTATCTGTGAAAGCTGAGTTTTGCTGAAAATTTACATTTGCTGTAATTTGTGCATGTCTAGGCCATTGATATAAGTATAGCTATATTTCCAGTTTTAAATGCAGATTTGTTGTAAAATGTTGGGGCTACTGTAGTTTAAGGATATTGTTCTTCAATTTAGAAAATATTTAATTTTACTGAAATTGGAAAATTCTTAGCTCTTTGAGAGAACTTCTGTGGGATTTATAAGTTTCCTGATCTTAATTTTTTTTTTTTCTTTTCCCAAAGAGAAAAACATATCTGACCAACAAAATGAATCCTCTACAGTCTTGAAGGATCAGCAGGTTCTCGATGTCAAGAGCTATGCACACTTATTTTCAAAGAGTGTTGAAACCCTGAGAGTTCACCTGGCTGAGAAGGGTGATGGAGCAGAGCTTATATGGGATAAGGTTAGTTTGCCAAAACATAAGAAGCAGTTACACACTACATAGGTAGTACAAATATTCATTGGACTTATGCAGTTTCATTCCAAAATAGTACTACTTAGAACAAAAATGTCTGGTGCCTCACTGAAAGCGCTTTCCGTATGTAAACAAATATATACGTTAAACACTCCAGATTTTGTAACTCACTGAGTGTGTAAGGATTAACTATTTTGATGTAAAATAACTTAATTCACCAACTTTAAAAAGCACAAATTCAGAAGTATTTGTCATATTTTGATTTTTGAAAATATTTTAATAATGCAACTACATTTTTTCCTTTTTAGCTTTCTCTAAAACATGCTCTTATACAGTGGTTTGTAGCTAGAGTTCTACTGGGTTGTACATAGTAATTAGCTCTGTTGATAGGTATGTGATATATTACGAGTTTTGCTGAAGAAAAACAAGAAAGTAATTTTCTCTTTTAGCACCGGAGACAGTGTAATACTCCTGCAGTCAGTTGTCATTTGGCATATGGAAAAAAAAGTAGTTTATAAATATGGGGGGGACAAAACAGTAAAATAGTATTACAACAGATAGTAAAAAGACTTCTTTCTGAAACACCAATTTTTGAAACTGAGCATAAAACATTGTAAGATTTAGGATTTAGACATTATTTTGAACATACAAGGCATTTTATTAATACTAATACACTAATTCACTACTAAAATACTAAGTACAATTTCTGAACGCATGTATTTGAAGCATTACTGCCCTGTCTAAACATACCATCTGAAAGAGGACTTGGAAATGGACTTACTTTTTTTTTAAACTTTCTGTTTTTAAGGTTTTAGGAACCATGTGTTGCAAACTTTTTCCAATGAGTAATCCAATTTTTAAATACTTTTTGTATTAACTTCTTGTCAGGATGACCCTTCTGCAATGGATTTTGTCACTTCTGCTGCGAACCTCAGGATGCATGTTTTCAGTATGAATATGAAGAGCAGATTTGATATCAAGTGTAAGGATAAAATATAACATTGTTTTATTTAAATAATAATCTAAACTTCTCATTTTCATGTATTGTTAAAAATCTGCATGCTCTTGCTTATTTTGCAGCAATGGCAGGAAATATTATCCCAGCTATAGCTACTACTAATGCAGTAATAGCTGGTCTGATAGTGCTGGAGGGTTTGAAGATTTTATCAGGAAAAATAGATCAGTGTAGAACGGTAAGTGGGAATAAGATACTTTCACTTGTTATTTATTATTTGTTTAAAAGTCATATTTAACCTGCTTTGACTATTGTTTAGTTTTATTGTCTCTCACTTGTTGCTGCTTCAGTAGATTCTGAATGTGCTGGGAACTTTCAGCCGCAATGAAAAGAGAAGTGGAAGTCTCAAGGATGGTTAAATTCCTCATTTAATGAAAATTGGCTGCTGAATAGGAGAGAGAACCAGACTGACATCACTTGAAACATGGTTGTTTCATGTTACAGATCTATTTGGCAATAGCTGGTCAGTCAGCACAGGTGTCATTGCGGACTGGCCGTAATACTCAGCAGGCACGTCAAAGAGGATTAGGGAACAGGACAACCTGGGAGACTAAGAGAAGAAATCTGTAGGAAAACAGGTTTTATGAGTGCTGTTACTTACATAATAACTTGTTTTATTTTTGTCTGTCCTCAAGATTTTTCTGAACAAGCAGCCAAATCCCAGAAAGAAGCTATTGGTTCCTTGTGCTTTGGATCCACCAAATCCTAACTGTTATGTATGTGCAAGTAAGCCAGAAGTGACTGTGAAACTTAATGTACACAAAGTTACTGTGTTAACACTCCAGGATAAGGTAAATCTTTAATACTAGCTACAGCTTTCATTTTGATTCTAATACTGTACATTATTAAAGTTAGGTTTTTGTTCAGTATATTTTGACTGAACATCAGCTATTTGTATTTGCTCTACATTTTGCATTTCTCTCAGTTACAAGAAGAGCTAGATTAGCCAGTATGCTTCTGCTCATGTGTGCTTGTATATCTTGTGAAAGAATGTTTGTATTTTGTAACTTTTTGGTAATTTTAAAGCCTATTCATATCTAAAAGCAAAAAACTAAATTTGTATTTCAGTTGAATAGTTCAGTAGCAATTACAGTTGCGTAGTCACAACTGATTTGTAATTCTGTCATTTTATGAAGTATTCTAAAAAAATTTTCAGCACATGTAGGTTTCAGACAGCAAAAATATAATTATTTTGTTCATGGTAGCTTAAAAAAAAAAAAGTATAGGCTTTCAGCACATGCCTGAAAATGAGCCAGGATAAGAAAATCAACATAATTAAAGGTTCTTTCTTTTATAAGTGTTTCTAAGTCAGATATTGATTAAATAATAGTATTCATCTTTTCAGATAGTGAAAGAAAAATTTGCTATGGTAGCACCAGATGTACAAATAGATGATGGAAAAGGAACTATTCTTATCTCTTCAGAAGAAGGAGAGACAGAAGGTATGCATACTGAAGCTTTTTAGATAAGAGTACATAAAAACTAGGAAGAAACCAAGATATACAGAATAGAAGTATAGCAAATGTTTTAGTGTTCATCCTGTAGACTAATATTTGAAGAGAACTGGATTTGCAAGTATTTAAGTGGCTCAAGAATAGCTAGTGGTATTGTCTACAAGCCTGCATGTCCAGTTTAGCTTTCCTATATAAAATACTTTTCACCTGGAGTGTTAGGATTCCTTTCAAGAATAGGTATTCAGCTATAAAAGTGCAACAGTTATTTTCTTCTGTTTGCAAGTCCTGTTCATTTTCTTGTTCTTAGGTTGTGGTCTTTTTACGATGCTTGTAGGCAGTATTGTAATACAAATATTATCTCCAAAATGTTCCTAAATGTAATAATAGTGAAGTGCTTGAACATGATGCATGACGTGTAAATAAGTCAAAAATAAGTAGTTTTAACTCCTGATAGGCTTAAATGTCAGCTTTTACTTTAAATATAGCTAATAGATGTTAATCTTGTATTTCTACATAAAACTTCTGGAGTACTTGTTTCATCATATTTATTCAGGTGTAAAGGGTATTTATATAAATAGCTGTATACACTGCAGTTTTTCACTGTTTTTCTAGCAAATAACCACAGGAAATTATCAGACTTTGGAATTCGAAATGGCACTCGACTACAAGCAGATGATTTCCTCCAGGACTATACACTGTTAATCAATGTGCTTCATAGGTAAGGATTCTGAAATAATTATTTTTGTGTATATATGTAGAACAGTTCCACAATTTCCAACTCAGAATTTTAAATTAATGAATAAAGCTCAAAGATTAAGCTGCGGAAAGAAAATATAGAGGTAAAAGAGGAATTATTATTTTTATGAATTTGTAGAGTTTAGGTGGTTTTGTTTTGTAGTTTGTTTTTTTGGGTTTTTTTACAACAGTAATTGGAAAAAGTTTATTTGAATAATTTGTCATTACACAACATAAAAATACAGTGCAAAACCAAATTTACTTTTGGGGCAGCCAACAAGCAAGAAACTGCTGTTTAAAAAACAAAACAAAATTTAAAAAGGCAAAAAAACCCCCAGCCTGCTGGGGTAGTAGATCCTCTGCTTGACTAGCTGTGTTCAGATACAGCAATGCAAATAGGAGTCACTTTGAAATAACTGATGTGTGTATTTAACCCTGGATAAGTAATATACATATTATATACAGTAAATTAACGCACTGCACTTTCAGTGAGAATAGGAATGTGATGTTGAGGAAGAAAGGTAAGCTCAGGTAATGATTTTTCTCATTCCTAAGCATTTTAAGTCATGGCACTGGGTGAAACAGTGTTTATGAATAGAGAAAGCATAAATTATAAAGGAGGACTGAACAGATTTTCCTCTTTTCTAACATATTTTTCTCATTTTGTCATAGTTGCAGGGTGCTCTAATACTTGAATGACATACTTTGTTTGTGAAAAAGACAGTTTTTTATTTTCACCTGGTTGTTTAAAAGCATATGGATTTTTCTGCAGTGAAGACCTAGAAAAAGATGTAGAATTTGAAGTTGTTGGTGATACCCCTGAAAAAGTTGGCCCTAAACCATCAGAACCAACATCCAAGAACATTACCAATGGTAGTGATGATGGAGCGCAACCCTCAACATCAACAGGTAAATAACAGTAGTCAATATTAAATATAACAGTATATATATCAGTAGTGCAGTCCAGTAAAAATAGTTGTGTTCTGTTTTACGACTTAACTTTGCCAAAGTGAAATAAAAGGCATTTAAATTGTCTTTATGTATAAATATAATATTAAATAGAAAAATGCACATTTAAGATTGTTACAAATTGTTTAATTGTACAAGATTGCTTACAGTAAATACACCTTGAAATTACATTATTTAATTTGCAAGGGCTTGGTGGGTGTCAGTTTAAGTCCATCATTTGCACAGTGATTTAAATAAGGTAGACCCATTCTATCTGATGGTCACGCTATTGCTTGACAAAAAAGAATCAACCAAATTTGTCACTTTGTCCCTACAGATTAAAAATTACTTTGTGCATGTCTTTGATCATGTTTTATTATGTTAATTTAAGAGATGTCTTTATTATCTTCTTCCAAAATAATAATTATTTTTCACCTGTCAATAAAGCATGACAAGAAAATAGTATTTGCTATCCAGGAAGAAGTACTATCACCTTCCTAATGTAGGGTGTTTCTTTGAACATACACAGAATAGTTTAACTCAAATAAATATGGGATGCTTAAGCACTGAAGGCTAATGTACGGGAAACGTCATACTGTTTTATAGGGATAGCATATGAATCTGAAAACTTGTTGTGACATGTAAGTTAGATATCTGTAGTTCTGTCTTGCGCTTTCGGGTGATGTTCATTTGCCTGTCAGATGGTCCTATTTAAGATGTGTGCACAAGTATGTCGTCACTTCCACTTGCCTCTTGTTTCAGGGGAGATTAAATGTTAAGGGTATTGCTACACTTGATTTCAAATTATATAAAAAACCTAGCATAAAATTAGTTTTTACAGCGAATTTGTACTTCAAAACAAACAAAATCCACTAGATGTCTTGAAAGTTCACGTTTGGTTCTGTTTTCCCTTCTTTATGCTATCTATTGTTATCCTTTAGCTCACCCTTCTGTCTTCCCTCTCTTTGCGTGTTCTCACTCTCTCAGGGAGCATGGCTTCTAGTGGGAGTTCTGTTGAATGCACTGGTGAAAGCAGAGGCTGGACTACGGCTCAGTGTGTGTAAAAGTTCTTTTCTCAAGGACTGCTGCAGATAGCATGCAATTCTTCTATTTTGTACATGCAAAAAAAAATCGTGCTAACTAATGCATTTCCCGTATTTTTGGGTTATTGCAATATTTTCCATACTTCTAGTGAAGAGGGAATAACCATGTGAAAAGCCTATTTTATATGGATTTCAGAGAAATTCAAAATATTCTTGCAGTTGAATAACAAAGAATATGGATAAAGAATGCTCCCAGACGTATTTGTTGTATTAGAGACATTCTTATTTTTATGTGGTTTGAGAGTAGACTATCTTTACAGTATCCATTTGAATTAAAAACATATATTTTGCAGCTCCAGATCAGGATGATCTATTGATTGTTGATTCTGAAGATGAAGGTACTTCAAGCAATGTTGATGATGATATGGAAAACAAAAGCCGCAAGAGAAAACTAGAAGATAAAGAGTGCGTCAGTACAAAGAGAGTGCGTACTGAGCAGACAGAAGAGCAAGATGAAATTATAGCATTAGACTGAACAAGCAAATGCCCCTTGACAAAATGATTCAAATAATGTAATACAGTAACACCATATTATTTTGGGATGTGAAAAATGTCCAGAACTAGACTAATTTTGAGGCCTTTGTTCCGAGTGAATACCAAACCACTGGCTTAAATAATTTGTGTCTGTTTCTCTTGATGATAAAGCTCTCATCTCAATAGACTCTTTCAGAAGTTTTTCCATATTAATTCCATATATTAAATGTAGTAGAAACATAGTTTATAAATACTTACAGATAAGTATTTGCTTAAACAGTCATGAAAAAAGCATGTTATTTTTGTGTAAATACCTTTTAGGTATAATTCAATAGGACAAAAAAACCCTACTCTCGTTTAGTAAAGGGTCATCATCTGATGCCCAGATTTTAAGTAACTACATTTTTCTTGCTTGAAGAAAAATATTTTTAGCCTAGTCCTAAACATTTTTCACACCCTGAACAAGTAAAGAAGAAAATTCAATAAAGCAAATTAGTGCCATGTTTTAACAGTGTTCTTAAACTTCAACTGGCACTATGTACATTACTGTAAAACTGTTAATTTACTCAAGTTTTTCAGCTCGTACTGCCTGGTATGTCAATGTAAGAAGCAAATTTTTGTGTATTGTTACAGTTTCAGGTTATTTATATTTGATGTTTTGTAAACTCAGATACTACTACTATACTGTACATCTGATGGACCAAATAAATGACATCTGAAATACTTGCTATATTTGCTTGCACAGTCCAAGTTTATGCTGACTTATGGGATTTTACAATGTATAGCCTTCAAAAATCACTGTATTATTTTCATTTTTCTAAACATAACCTAGTAGTACAGAACTTAAGCTTCACTTGTTTGAGGTGAAAGGGGAATTTTTTTAATAAAACTTTTGTGAATGTTTTTTTCCTTGGACAATCAATTATTGGCCTCTTCAGTTGGAACATCTGCACCACCACACGCATGCTTTCACCACCTCATGCCTTCAGAAAGAAGAAAGCACTGGTGTTTTATACATTACACTTTCTGCATAGGACAAAAGTGCAATGTTTAGAATCAGTATCTTAAAGCCTACTGCATTCATTTAACTATTTTGGTAGCTCTCAAAACTATCAGTGTTGATTCTTAGAACACGTTAATCAGCCATTTCTGCCACTGTACTGAAATTACTTTCCAACTTTGTGTTAGTGAACCAAAACTGCTTCTGTTCATAGACAAGTATGCAGTTAGCCTTACAGAGCAGAGAAATTGAGCAGACAAGAATTCATTCTGTTCTAGTTTGCAAACCGACTGAATTTTAAACAAGATGCTAACTGTATAGAAGGAGAATGTAAAAAAACCAAAATCAGCACCTTCTTAGGTTTTGGTTCCTGCATCTGGTGCTGTCTAGTACAAAGACCAGCTCTTCATCAGTGTTAAATTGCCAACACAGTGCAAAACTACAATTCTACGATGCAATTAATGTTTTCTCTCTTCTTTTAGGTACTAGTCATATGCAATGGCTTGTTTGGAGGCATAATACTCCACTGTGAAATTAAATCCTTTTGAGTTAGTTTCTTCTTGGCCAGCATGAGTGAAGACTGAGAGGTAAAGATGTAAATAAGAGGTGTTACAGAAAGGATTTTCAGTGCTACAATGGGAAGCTTTTATAGTTCCTGCCATAAACAGCTGAAGCACTAGAATTTAGTATGTCTGATTACATCTTCCAAAAATTAAGGCTGACATTTTCTTTTTAAGCTTTACTAAAAATAAAATTACTGGTTTATTAAATTAGTTGTCAAATAGCTTGTTATCTGTGTAATAAGATGCGCTTCTCATTGTGACATGACAAAGCTTTATCTAAGCTGATGGCATGTGTAATCAATAGTGTGATCCTATCTTGCTCACTACCGGAGAAATTTCCCTGCTTGCGCTGGTCGGTATTCAAGAATTTAGCTTTCTAACTCTTTTTTCATTATTTTAACAGTAGAGGCTATAATTCTGGTAGCTTTGTTGCATTAGTTTTACTGAGAGTGTTCATGACTTAGAAGTTAAGTGGTACATAAGCTGAATCAAAATAACATGCAACAACAGATTTGGGGGTGAAAAAGAGAAGGGGGGGCCTATTCAGTTTCACTGGCTTCTACTCTTTTAAGTTATTAGTATTAACAGCGTAAGATGACAGTACTCAAATGATTTCTTAAAGTATTTGGGATGCTGGTGTCCAAGCAGATATATGTAAGAGTTTCTCAGGGCAGTCTAGAATTTAACTACATAAGCAATTACATCTTGATGTATTTAGGAGATGTAATTGTGCTGCTTTTGTCTGGGTAGTAAGTAGTTAGATGGCAAAAAATGCTCCTAGATCCTTCCTGTAAAATACTTTATAGTGAATGATTTTTAATACATTTTCTTTACACAGGCTGCTTCTATAGAACATATGACAGGCTGTTCATACAGCGTCAGCTGTTCTATTCGGTTCTTGTTAAGTTTGGCAATACTGAATGAACCACTAAAAATGCAAACTGCTTCTGTGCTAAATGAAAAACTGCTTTTCAGAACTGATGGAGTATGAATGTCCTTAATTCGCTGCTAGTCACCAACATTGTATTAATGTAGAATTTTCCAACTTAAACTTTCTCTTGCCCTTGAGAGCAAATTATAAATCGAAGCATTTATTAAGCTTTTAAGTAATGAAAAAAAAAAAAAAGGCAAGCCACTTGTCAACTGACAATTTGTTCAAGTCCTAATAGCAGTAATATTGGTATGGAAGTAAGTGTAGTTGGAAGACAAAAGATTTAAATGTTAAAATGGAGGAGAAATTCTTCCCAGTGCCTTAGCTTGGCAACCCTGATGTAGGCTCTGTTGTCACTAACAATTTTTGAGCCAGGCTCATTAAATCAATCTACAAATTGCTATTTGCAATGATACAAATTGGCTGTTCTGTCACACAGCATTCTCTATTTGGTTGTTTATACTGATGCAAATTTCTGTAACGCAGATAAGCTTTTCTGGCTGCTTTTTGTAGTAACAATTCATTCTTGATGCTTGTATTTTTTATTTACTTAGTGAATTTGAGTGCCATGTATGAAAAGGACAAGAAAAATAGTGGAATATTTTAGCGTAGTTGAACGCAGCTGAGAATGTACCTAGTATCTGTCTTCATATGCTATTAGTTCAATGTCCCTTTTCTGCAGCAGAGCATGGAAAGGAATATTGACCACCACTGACATACAACAGTTAACTAGAGATTCATTAAGCTGCTCTGACTTATGGTGAAGAAATTTGTAATGACTTTCCCACAATCTTACTGTTTAAAAAAAAAAAAAGGCAGAAGTGCAACCTATCTGATTCTCAAAGCACCTAGAGAATCGCCCTTAAGGGGCAATCGATAACCACTGAGGAGAAAACTTTTGGGGCCATGATGACAGACAGCCTTGTACCAGCCCATTTCCTAAAGAGCAACTTGAACCTGTAGATAACCATTTAATGTTTGTAGTAGTTTTATGTGACATTTTAATTTTACTTTATTAAACCATTTCATTGTTGAACCACAGAGGCATCCATGCTTTCCTGGCCTGTTGACTCTGACAGCTGTCAAGCAGATTGATGTGCCATTTCAAGTTCTGACCTTTACAACAAAGACCTTTTGCTAACCATTTATTAGATCCCAGAAGATAAAACAGGCTTGTGTTCAGTTCGTATATACCATTGATATTACCTGCTTCAAGCCTTATTTCTACTGCCCCAAAACTGTAGATTTGGCTTAGAAAACTGAATAAACACTGAATTAAGGAAAATAAATTTGTTTTTTCCCCATGTTCTGTTTCTGTGCCTATAGGTAGAGATATTTTCTTTCTTCTCTTCGCAGCTATAAGGACAAGAAGCCCTCAATTTTGTGCATCTAAAATACTGAACGTGCAAGAAAGCAGAAAGTAGGATCAAAGTAATACAACAAATCTTACACAAGGCAGTCATCTGTTTTTTGCTTGCCTGAGATTATTTCTGGGCTAGTGTCTAAGCAGAATCATTACAGAGAACATATACCTACAGACAAAGGAATAGGAGGGGGAGGCAATTTAATGCTTTGATTTGGAGGCCTTGATTCCTCTTTAAGGGAGGAATGGCATGAAGTAAATAAATGTACTCCTAGATATAGCTTGATACCACTTTATATTATGAGAAGAAAATTGCTGTTTAGATACGTGTCATTATCTGTCTTCCTCATCAGCATACTTCTTCACTCACATGAGAAAAAGTGAGAAATTTTCAGGATTATTTCCTAAAGAAAAGATACTTACAGAATTGCTCTGCCAGTCCTCTCCAGCAACATTGGAAGCTACTTGCAAACATTAAGCAATTACACCAGTGTTCTCAAAGCTACTGCAATTCTACAAGTACGTGGCTGTAGATAAGGAGAGACAGACCCACAGAAGTGCTTCTGCGGTAGCACTTCGTCTTTTTAGGTGTGGTACTTACACACCTACCGGCCGACAGATCTGTGTGCAAGTCCACATGGGAGTTTGCTGCATTTTGCACATCTAACCAGTGATAACTGGAGGTAGCAGGAGTGTGCTGGGGAAAAGAGGGTGGCTAAGATACCTAACTAGAAGCTTAGGAAGCTACTAGGAGCTGTGGATATTACGAAGGGGACAGAGAGAAGGCGGTATGTAGGTGGACCTGGAAGGGAATTAAAGATGTATTAGAGCAGGAGTGCCAGAGACAGAAGAGCACTGACAAGTCTATTGAGGGATGTAGGTGAATATGGTGGGAGGAACCTGGAGGTACTGTATATAGTGACTGAGGACTGGCGTAAGTCCTGTAGCAGTGGGAGACCTCTATGGGACAAAGGGGATGACAGGAGTGCAGCATTTTTGGGGATTTGGAGAAGAGGTTACAAGCTGGAGAGTGCAAAGGATGCAGAATACAGACCTGTGGGAGACCGGCCTTCATTAGTTCCATTGCCTATGGAACAGCTCTATATTTCTTGCAAATTTGTTCATTATTTCCAGTTACAAATGCTATCTCTATAATACCATTTTATATGGAAAATACCATGAAATGTAAATGTAATTGGTGTTCTCAACAAACCAATGTCCTCTTTCTTCTGAAATGATCCTTCTCATCATAGCTGAAGTGTATTGTATTGTTAGGACAGGAGGTCACTGCTCATAGCTTGCCTCATTTCTTGAATACCCATATAAAGAGGCACATACAGTTAGCCTGATACTTTTCACCAGCAGAGAACAGGGGGGCATGCGTATAGCAGTCCGGCCTTCACACAGTGTTTCTATTTTTTATTAAATGCACTAATGCTATCTGATTTCTTTGCTAGATGATGGTTTGCAGTATTGTAATCATGACTTTCTTTTATCACGTCAAGATAAATTTTAGCTCTGTAGAGTCCTAAGTTTGTTTTTGTATTTCCAAGTCTCTGAAATAAGAAGCTATATAACCTAAGACCCCCTTAAAAGTACTAAGTGGGTGCACTGCTAACTGAGCTGGCCAACTAAATTATGTATTTATGCAAATGTAGTGGCTGCTATTAAGCTAATTGATTGTGTTTGAATATACTGTGATTATGTCCTGTGATTGCAAGAAGTATGACTAAGGCCATGTGCAGTCTCCAAAGTATGAGCCAATAAACTGCTTTGGCCAGAAGTGTTGTCATCTGAAATATGTGAGAGAAGTGAAAGATGAAACTAGAAAAGAAGTAAGATACATAAATGGTGTATTCATCGTAACTGCTTGGACATGGGTTGTCTGTCTAACCTAGCACGTTCACAAAGTGCCTGTTGTGACTGGAATTTTACAGGGTCTGTCCCAAGTTATATTTGTGCAGCACAGTGAATAGCTGCATTTGCAATAAATAAGAAGAATGTAAAAAACGTTAAATAATGTTTTATTGCAGATTTAGAATGAGA